TAAACAAAATTTAAAGGCGGTGCTACAATTACCATCAAATGTCGGTTTTATAGAAAGATGGTAGAAATGATCGTACAAATGGATAATAACAATGGTATATTTCAAAACGAAAACATAAAAATGGCAGTACACTACGTACGGAAATTTCAATCCTTGGCAATGATATATAGATAAATATAATTTTATTTCCCTATTTAAAATTGGTTGGTGGATTTGTCACGCAACAATTAGATGTCAGATTGAACAGCTGCAAAATGCAATGTTTTTGTCAAGTACGAGAGAGGCTGGACAAACTTTGTCTACTCATTTTCATCTGGGTTTGCCCAAATTCTTGAAGATCCAGGAACCAATAGACTTATCTAATATATTTTAACATTATCTATTTGAAACAAACGAAAACAAGAGCCCCAACATATCGAGCCACCCATCTAGTAATGCTAGAGCGAAAATTTACACTTCATCTTAATTTTTAGCTGTCAGATTGAACAAATTAAAAAGATTAAAAGACATGATTAATAAAAGTGTGAAAAATAAAAGTATGTAGATAGCTCATACTTAAAAATTATTGTTTTTCTTATTATGGGAATATAAATGGACAAAATTGGGATTATCATCCGGAGATATTTTTACCTATTTTTTTTAGTAGATGTTATTGAAGCTATAAACTTTGTCAAGATCCCATTTTAAACAAAGTAGTTTTAACGAAAAGATTGCGGTATTGTTCACTTTAACGAAAAACCATATTTTTACTTTAAAAAGTTAATCATTGTACTAACCTACAACACCTTTTTATTATTTTTGTTAAAATTCAAAGTTTTCAAGCCATTTTCATTAATTTTCCTTTTAAACAATGCATAGAACATGTTCTGGTAGTTTTACTTGGATTATTTAGGGTTGGGAATTAAAATATGGTCATGAAATTGATTTGTGCTGATATTAATGAATAATTGGCGGCAACTTTCACTTGAGGAAATTAGTTCTTAGGTCATATGTTTCCATTGAAATACCAGCATGGTTGGTGGAACACATGTCAACTACAAAATAAAATTTTTTGAAGAGAAATTGTTATCGACACTTTAAATTTTAATTTTGCATTTCAAATTTTTTATATTTAAAGATAAGAACATACTTGTGAAGAGTATAAAATAAAAATTTCAAAATATCAATAACATGGTTTATATTAATATACAATGTAACAACTTGTTATCAAATAATCGTAGCAATGTGGGTACACAAAGAATATCTCCGTTCTTCAATATTGCTCTAATCCAAAAAGAAAATAATAATTAAAGTCCAAAAAAAATTAGAAAAAGGAAAACACGTATCGGATGAGGTCCTTTGAATTGAATGAGTTTTCAAAATTCTAGTTTCTAGAGGGGGGCTCTGCGCGTCTCCTTGACTTTTGTAGTAAAAAAGCATTCAAATATTTCCGAAAAATTCAAAATCCGACTGCAGCTCAGAGACTGCGTGGCATTTTCGTTATTTCCTCTCACGTTGGAGGGTAGGTTAACAAACTCACAACGAAGACCCCCTCGCTACCGTACCTAGCTTCTCATCTAAGCAAAATTCTCTCTCTCTCTCTCTCTCTCTCTCTCTCATCACGATAAAACCACCGCGACTTTGGTTCTCTCTCTCTCTCTCTCTCTCCAATAAAAAAACCCCGAAACCCTCCGCTGCCTCTCTCTCATCCGCAACCGGAATCTTCACTTCCTCTCTCATAGGGTAGGCTTCGGGGATCGAATCCATGGGGCAGCAATCGTTGATCTACAGCTTCGTGGCGCGCGGCACGGTGATCCTCGCTGAGTACACGGAATTCACTGGAAACTTCACCAGCATAGCTTCCCAGTGCCTCCAGAAACTTCCGGCCACTAACAACAAGTTCACCTACAACTGCGACGGCCACACCTTCAACTACCTCGTCGATAATGGCTTCAGTAATTCCTCTCTCTCTCTCTCTCTCTCGTCAGATCTCCTCTGATAGATTTTTTTAGTTTCCGGTCCGATCCGCGTATTGATCGTGGATTTGATGTGCCGATTTTGCTCGATTTGGATTTCCTTCGTGGTTTCTATGCTATTTTTGGAAAATCGTTTATTATTAGTTCGATTGGCATAGATTTTCGTTGCTTTGAGGCCGTCGGATAAGATTCGTATGGATTCTCAAGCTCGTAATTTCTTGTGCGTTTTTCTCGGATTTTGTTAGGCTGTTTGGTAGGTGAGAAAATGTTTGTGAGTAATGATAAAAGAGTCAAGTTTGTGCGGTGAAAAGGAAAATAATTGTAAAAGTAAACTTCGTAACTCCCGCTGTTGTTAAAGTGATTCGTTTGATATGAGTGTTGAATAGGGATATGAGAGGAAAAATTAAATTCACGATCGAAGGTTTTAGTTGGGTTTTGGTTTTTCTGGATTCAGTTAGTAAATACTATTGTATTCGAATTATGTTAGTTCTAGATTTCTCGAGCCGAATGAGCATGGCTTTGTGTCTCCTTTGATTTTGTAAAGCTTATTCACTTGTGCATTCCAATGGCTTTGGAAGTGTTTTTTGTTATTGGATTTAACCAACGAAAAAACTCTCAACTTAAATAAGTTGAATGAGTAAGATATTTTAGCTTCTAGTTTTCGTAATTACTAGATTAAGCTTTAGGAAATATGGCAAGAAGTCGTTAATGTCAAATCTGATTTAATGTTTTTTTGCTATGCATGTTTCTACCAAGATTTTCAACATTACCGAAATAGAATAGGTTAAAGAAGTTGAACAGGAGTGATCTCACTTTAAGGAGCCTCTGGAAACGTAGTGCCACCATACGCCACTGCAAACAACTCTTGTTAATTGATCTGTCAAAATCGGTTCTCTTACATGAATGCATGCACTAGAACCTTGAGTTTCTGAAGTTTAAAGAAAAGAGCCGCGTAAAATTACTTTTCAGTCGAAAAACATTTCAGTTTTCATTATGCATAGTTGGATGATGGGATGTTTTTTTATTTGTGTTTGTTTCTCTTTACTCTTTTGAATTTTGATACATTTATGTCTATAAGAGTTGAACTAACTTTACCCCTTCGATGCTACAGCATATTGTGTAGTTGCAGTTGAGGCGGTTGGTCGACAAGTTCCTATTGCCTTCCTTGAGCGAATCAAGGAGGATTTTACCGGTAGATATGGTGGGGGAAAAGCTGCAACAGCAGTTGCAAATAGCCTAAACAAGGAATTTGGGTACTGTTGTTTTATCTTTTCCATTTATTGAATTGAATGTGGTTGACCTTTCCTATGATGTCTTCTAATTCCGCAAATTTTGGTGCCAATATAGGTCCAAACTGAAGGAGCACATGCAATACTGTGTGGATCATCCCGAGGAGATCAGCAAGCTTTCAAAAGTGAAAGCACAAGTCTCAGAAGTCAAAGGAGTAATGATGGAAAATATCGAAAAGGTAAGGCCTTGTGATTTGTGTAGATCTAGAAAACCAATCGTCTTTGTTTAGTTTGATATCTAATTCTTGTGGTCAAGTTTTTTTGTTGGGATTAATAATTTTGAAACCTGGCAATTTCTTACACGACCTATTAACCTAATCCGAAATGTCACGAAATAATGGGTTTTGGGTCAACACGTTAACTAATTGGGTTATTATGGGGTCACACGTTAAGAGTTTGTTAAGAACGGGTTCTTAACAGGTTTACACGCAGGTAACCCGTCTCAACCCGATAAAAAAAGTTAGTTTGATGATTTTAAACTACTAAAAAACCTTTCTACAATAGCCATAGTATTTTTCTCACATAGTGAGATTAAAAAAATTCCAAACCAGTTTAAAAATACATAAACTATAAATTTAAATTTAACCGTTGATTGTCATTACGAGTGTTTATATATATATATATATATGTATGTATGTATGTATGTATTACTTTGTTCATACTTACAATTGCCACAGGATTTGATTTCACATAAGTGAGATTACATCCTTACCGTTGGATTATTTGATCTGACTTACGTTTTTCATTTGATCATGTATTGATTTAAAATATATTTTCTTTAACGGGTTGGGTCATATTAATTGGTTGATTTTGGGTCGGGTAATATTACCCATTTTAACTACACAACCGTTAAGATATCGGGTATGTCACGAACACGGGAACCACGACACTAATGCAAGGTCTAATTTATTGTAATAATTATTTCGAGATTGGGATCAATGTGGTGTGAGATTATTTGATTGATTATGTTCATTGCAGGTTCTTGATCGTGGGGAGAAAATTGAACTTCTGGTTGATAAAACAGAGAACCTCCGCTCACAGGTCAGCGATTGATGCCATTTTGTTTTACCCTGCAATAGCCAATTCAATTACATGTATTGAAATTGAACCGTATTTTGTTGGCTTTTCATTAGTATCAGTAAACCCTTAATCACTGTAGGCTGGGTGTAATTATATCTCTCTTTTGGCGGCTTGAGTGTTCGGATTTTGTGTAGTTAATTTTCTGATGTATGCCGTGTTACTGATTGGTTTGGCGATGCAGGCACAAGATTTTAGGCAGCAGGGAACCCAGATGAGGAGGAAGATGTGGTTCCAGAACATGAAGATCAAGCTGATAGTTTTGGGAATCTTAATCGCTTTGATTCTCATCATCGTTCTATCCGTTTGCAATGGCTTCAAATGCTGATGTGTCCGTAAACTCTTATCGGGCACAGGATGGAGTTTGTTCGTCGCGCTTGTTTCTGGTCTACGTATATTTATTCTTGGTTGCACATCCTACTTTCTGCTATAATTTGTATTGCAAGACCGTTTGTATAGCTTGTATTCGTAAATTTTTTCCCATAATAGGCTCTGTCGGATGTGCGAATCGTTCTTGATTCCTTTTGCTCCATGGAACTTATGTTGTAGCACTTGTGACTGATTCTAGATTTGGTATGCAACGGTTGAAAAGTGTCGAATGTGCATCTTATCACCCTTCTCAAGAACCGTAAAACCGCCCAAATAACGCGAAGCTAAAAAATTCACCGGAAATGAAACGTGAGGGAAATGTGCTTCTTTTCGCTTTCATTTGAGAATCGAAAACATGAGGGAAAACGTCCCTTAAGAATAATGTATGAAAATGGCTTTTGTCAAACGGAAAAACAAGTCCAACCTCTTCGACATTCTTCTATGTATGTTGTATGAACTATGAAGTACGAAGTAGGAAGACAATGATTCATTTATTGATCTCCATGTTGTCTATCGGTCTGACTAACCCGAACCAGGCAGCAACACACAACACAACCGAACGTCTGATCTCTTCTACCGACTCCAAGCTTCCAACAAAACCTTTTCCCACTAAGTGAGGTCGGCTATATGAATCATAGAACGCCATTGCGCTCGGTTCTGTGTCATGTCCTCCGTTAGATCCAAGTACTAGTCTTTTCTTATATTCTCTTCCAAAGTTTTCCTAGGTCTTCCTTGGTCGAGAATCTGCCGGAAAAATTCACAAACAATTAGAACATAATCTTCGTCAAGTTTTCTGACATATTAGCTTACGAGGTACTTGTCCCTCGTCTCCCAGAAAGGTGGAAGAAATTAATCAAAGAAAAATGAAGTTGGTAAGTGCCGAAAATTAGGGTTTTAAAAATTCAAAGCTATCTTGAACGAGTATCAAGGACTTTGTTGTTCCATCTTTAAAGCCAACGCGGTAAAACAAGCTAGTTCTGCGATGCTCACCTCAGCATAGTCGACACTTCCACCGGCTTCACTAATCGCTTCGACGACCAAGTCTCTCAACTCTTTACAATTAATTTGTCCCTTTTCTGCAGAAGATCTAGCTTTTGACAGTGACTTGCTTATACAACGTGCCTGTATATAACTAAAAAGGTCGTACCCAGTGCACAAGCCTCCCGCTTTACGCAGGGTCTGGGAGAGGTGAATGTCGGCTAGCCTTACCTCCATTTATGGAGAGGCTGCTCCCAAGTCTCGAACCCGAGACCTACCGCTCATGGGCGAAGGCACACTGCATGAGCAAAAATGCCGCAGAACTCGAAGTTCTATATTCGCAAATAGCGAGATAGGCTTAAATGCGGTAGCAAACCTTTTCCCGTTCTTCAGGTGAGAGGCGCACATTGCGTGAACCCATCGCCAGGCCGTCATTTTCCCGCACTATTTCAGAACCTATCACTCTAATAGAAAAATCAAGATCTCGAACCTGTACTAATTCAAAAGAGACCGATAATCCATAAGCGGCTTCCTACAAATGTAGCTAACATCGTATCATCAAAATACATCATGTCTAAAACTACTGCAGCAAGCAATTGGGTTTGAAATGGCCAAATGAAATAAAGCAAACAAAGTTTTTGAAACGGTTTTAACCCAAACCCGAAATTTATGCTCTGCAACAATTTTCAATTCAATGAACACAACATTGGCAATCTATTTTTCTTTCCTCACAAAATGAGCACATCAAACATTCTTGCATTGACAAAGCACATTAAATCGAGACCAAAATCGGGTTCAAACAACAAATTCTCACACCCAACATTTTGTCATTCCTTGTATGAACTCCGTTAAATCTACCCTCCCATGTGCCGCACAAGTGACATTTCGCACCAAGAAATTAACGTAAGTTGACACGTCCTCGAATTCCAACAGTAAACGGAATGCAAACAAACAAAGACAAAAATTCGATGCAATTGAAAATGTAGGGACAAGACAAGAGGTCTAAATCACGTTTTGGCCATCACTTTCGACCAAATCTTTCCAAGTCTTACAATTTCATGCTCCAATTCATGAACTTCTAGAAGTTTATGGCGCGGCGAAAAATGCCACGAAAAGAGATTTCATCGTACATTTTGAAAGCAATTCGCAAAACCGATTAAAAATCAAGCTCTGAAAATCCAACAAGAACTTACCATCCGCTGAATAATCCGCCATTGCTGATAATCCTGCTTCCCAAACACCGCAACATCCGGCTCCACAATGTTAAACAGCTTGCTCACCACCGTCGCCACCCCTCTAAAAAACACAGGCCTGCTCCGCCCGCACATCCCCTTCTCCAACCTCTCCACCCTCACCGACGTCTCGTGCCCCGCCCCCTTCTCCTCCACGCAGGACACCGTTTCACCGCCGTCGCTCGCACGTGCCCCATTACTCGCTGGTGCCTTTGCGTCCGTGTTATTTCCATAGTCGTATAGGTTGTGGGGGTTAAAAACGACGTCGACGCCGCCGGGAATTTGGGTGAGCTTCCGGATGTCGCCGTGGAAAGCGGACGGGTATGTGGAAAGGTCTTCTCGGAGGGGGAGACTGACCCTTGTTCACGTAGATCGAGACGGCGAGGACGTCGGCGTGGGTGCGAGCTTCTCGGATGAGGGACACGTGTCCGTCGTGGAGGTAGCCCATTGTTGTGGGTACTAGTCCGACGGTCTTGCCTTGGGATCTCATGGCGCGTGACCACCTCCGCATCTGGTCCTTGTCTCTGATGATCTGTGGCTCTCCGGCCTCCATTGGAAGCTGGGATGTTGGTGTTTCGAGAAGGAGAGAGCGAGAGCTTGGTGGAATTGGCGAAGGCAAATAGCAAAATTCAAGTGAGGAAGAAACTGCTTTGTGGCGGGCAGGTTGGGTCGGGCAAATTGTCATTTAGTCTCAGTTTACGAAATTTTTGTCTATTTCATCAAATTTAGTCTCAGTTTACGCAATTTTTGTCTATTTCATCAAATAAACGTTAGATTAAAGGGGAGTATGAAATTTTATTTTTGACACGACTAATTACCTCCAATTTGTTGCTAAGACAATTTCATTCTATTTTCGATAACTCTAATTTAAATTCTCGTTTGTCTCTCTTGTAATTGATGTTCAGTTGTAGCTGCAGTCATTAGAAAAATCCAATAATGGATTGTGTTTCAAACCACCAAGGAACTTTATTTCAATTTTGAACTTACCCACACACCCTCATACAAGACAACTTGATTCTGTGTTTGTTTGTGTTTTCCCTTTTGTTGGGACTAAACACACAACCTATATTAACACACCTACATATCAATATGAACAAGTGAAACAACACAAGAAAGTGATAATTTGCACTATTAACATGCCACTTGATCTCTAAATTGAGAGATTTCTTCAAAGATTGGAAGCCTCTTGGATCTAAACGGACCCCATTCATTCATCAATTGCTCAAGCCCCTTCACAAAATCATCATCCAGGCTCAGTAGATCCAATGACTCTGGCAAACTACTCATCGACCTCAATTCCATTAACAACTCGTGGGCCCGTTTCTTCGACTTGCTCTCCTCAGATCCTGGAAGTCTACTTTGAACCACATCTTCAAGTACCAAACGGGCATCTTCGTATCGGCCCTGTTTGATTAGGCACAAACCCAAGTTACATGCTTTGTTTGAGTCAGGGTCGATCATTTGGGCCTTTTGATACACGACCTCCGCCATCATGTAGTTACCCCTTTGCATATAGGCCCAGCCCAAATTACCCTGTAAAATTTATCACATTACTAAGGTAACATGTTACCAAAATTATGAACCTAGGCAACTCAACATAACATATCAGATGGATATCTGATAAATCATACCAGTAATCTCAAAGTCTCTTGTGTAACTGAAACTTGGAACTTCTTTCCATGAGAGCGCGCGGTTTTAGTCGGCTTTCCGTTGAAGGCGGCTCCTTGGTATATCAACCTAAGCTTCCTCTTGAGCAAGTCAATTTGCTCTTCAATTTTGCCACATTTCTTGTACAAGTCAATGAGGACATTGTCAAGAGAGTCTTGGGCTTGTTTGGAACAAAGGCCTCTAAAGGACTTAACAGCTTCAATGGCCTCCTCAGTTCTATCCAATTGCTTCATCACCACAGCCATGTCTTTTAGGGCACTGTCCACCCTGTCTCCTGCATTTATTGCCTTCCAAAACAACACTATTGCTGCCTCAGGATCCTTTGCAACTAGCTGAAAAATATTACAAAAAAAGAAAAAAGGGGTTTGGTAAGACTAACAAATTGGGCTGTAATTTGGGCCCCCAAGAAAAAGGCCCATGTAAATAATCGATACTGTCACTCTTTTCCATGTTTTTCACAGTGGTCCAGACGAAGTGGGCCAACACTAATAAAAAAACAATAAATATTTTGCATTGCATTTATATATATATATGCATTTTTTTTTGAGTAATTTATTTTTATTTTTGATGAACACAAAATCTTTTTCTTTTTAGGATACCAAGTTGACATCATAATTCAGAGTCCAGATCCAACATCCACTTGGTTCTTGGCCCCCACATCTTTAACAACAATTTAAATAGATTTTTCATTTTTGTCAATTATTTTATAGGTGTTATTTTTCTTTTAAATTTTTATGGACTGCAAATAACATCTTAATAATGTTATTCATCTTGTTGCAATAAGTATTGTTCAGGTAATTAATTATGATAAATAATATAACATTTCAAGTGGTTTAAACTTCTAAATTCTACACACAACTCAACTTAATTAAACTAATTAGCTAAAGCAGCGTGTTTCCCTCTTTATATCCAAGTTCGATCAATTTGGATAAATTTAATGAAAAATATTCGCTTGTGTGTGTATATACATATAACTTCCACATTCTACGAACCCAAAGTTAATTATTTCACGAAATTAAACTATTTGGTTTAACTCAAGTATTTATTTTTCAAATCATTTGCAACCTAATTTATTAACCAAAGATGAGATCTGAACCTGTGTAACACACTGAGATCTGATTTTCCACTCAACTACATATAAATTATAATTCACCCAATTAATTATAAAAGCTAGCCATAAAAATTATTGGAAAAGAGGTCGATCGATTGCATGGTAGGCAATAATCAGCTTCGAATTTGGGAAAAGGAAGAAAGAAAGTAGGTTTGAAGTTTAAACTTCATGCTCGAGCTCTAGCGTTTCTTCACCAAAATTTTACCCCCACTTAAGTCAACCATTCATCCAGAAAAATTAATAAAATAATGTACTAGCCATTCAATTATTGGGGTTTTTGAGTTGGGAAAATTAAGGAAATATTGAAGCATCCTCCAAACAAAAATGATGGATTTGGTAAAACAATAATCTCCTTGGTAATTGGAAGAAGCTTGAGTAATGCCAAAAGGGTGCACAAAACAAAAAAAAGATAGAATGAGAGAATATCAAGGATGTATCATATATCAGAACGAGCAGAACAACCTAATTGCAGACGGCAATTTATCTTTTATCTATTTATTTATCTCATCACGTGAAGTATAAAACAAAAAAGAAAATGTATATATCTTGGAAAAATTAAGCATGCAATTCAAACTCAATCGCTACTAATCAAACTCATCGTATCATGCAAAACCAAGGTATGAGTTTTTATGACATGAATCAGCTTCTTATAACCCCCAAACGAAAAAAAAACTAACAAGATCTTAGATTTGGGCATCGCGAAGTTACCTAGACTGAAAGAGCAATATGCTCACCCAAGTTTGAATTTCTCTTCCCGTTGTTTTGATTATATCGCGTTTAATAAATAAACAAATAAATAAAAACTAGACTGGAGAACTATTGAAGTATGGGGACGAACCTGAGCATGTTTAGCTCTAACATAAGGACTATCACCAGAAGGAACCTTATGAATAACATGATAAAGATCATCTTTCTTCCCTTTGGTGCTGCAGCTGTTCATCTTCCGACTCCCCTCCATTCTTTTTCTTTTTTCCCCCTTAATTTCTCTGGATTAATTGGCTGCAATAATATTAATAAAAAAAGAAAAGAACAATAAATAATTAAAAACAAATAATAATGGAGGAGCTCGGTCTCCACTGTCTCTCCCTCAGGAAATCGAGGAGGAGAGATATTACGAGTCCAATTTATACAAGCAAACATCTGATAATATTTTCGGTTTTATAAGATGGTCATGAACTTTATGCCATATCACGACTCGATTCATCCTTTGTTGGTTTATGTTCACACAAACAGCAGATCAACAACCTTGCTACGTGTCGGGTGGGACACGTGTCGCGCTGAAATTCAACCATTCTGGGAACAGTCTCGATGGTTGTATTATTGCATTAGATAGATTTTTCAGTGTGACCGTCACACAAGGTGGTACACCACGTGTCCCTATATAAATAGTGTGTTATATGTGTTAAAAGGTTAATAACTTAAAAATCAAAATTTTTTACTACTTGTATAAAAACACGTAGTATACTATCTGTGTTCTCGTGACAACTAAAAATTTCTCGTATTATTGGAATACAATCATGACCTTTTCCTTTTTCGTACATGACAATGCTAGACAGACTCAATTGTGTAAATTAAATGATATAGAAGTTGATAATTTAATTATTACTTAAACGTTGATAAACGTGCTCATTTTCATTTAGTGACACAACGTTTAGTTTATAAATTTAGTTTCATGTCATTACTCTTATATATAATTAACAATACAATACACTACATTTTATTTTTATTTTATTTATTTATATAAAAGGTTTTTACTGTAAATATAATGTATTTTACTATAAATTGATACGTCATTTGACCCCACAACAGGGCCCTAGGGTTTGTTGTCAATGCCACTAGTCAAAATACAGCACTGTAATGTAAACTATTTTTCATATCATTAGTAAAGTTAGTTGTAACTTATCGCATATGACAGATCGGTGGTCATGCCCTTTTAGCTACTTAATCATAGCTAGGTAGGGTGAGGTTTTCACACTACCTAATAAACATATAATTCTTCCCTATCCTATATATCTCAATTTTCGGATGAACTTGGACATGATTATGTTGAGACTCTTCTAGCACAAAACGTCGCGTGTGATAGCACAAAACGTCGCGTGTGATCGATGAAAGTTATGAAAATGTAACAAATATGTATATATTAGGAAAATTCTTATATATATAGACGACAACACATCTTCTCTGTTTGTGTGTCTTATCCGATATCGTTTAATGCTTTCTTGTTAGAAAGTTAGACGGCTCCTAGTCTAACTAAAAGGAAGATAATCTTATCAGTGGACGTCAGTTTGTAGGTTGTACGGGTGAACCTGACCTTTAAACCAGTCGGGTTCAGTTAGAACAACTAAGAACTAGATTTGAACGAGGATTTCAGATATATCCCAACTCCTGAGCACTAAATTTTGTTGCTATCTTTAAACATTTAAAAAAAAAATCTAGAGAAATACTTGTATAGTAAGCAAGCAAGCAAGAAAATGGCGTCAGTGCAAAACTGTTGGAGCACTGTGTGAGGACTGAGGAGCTTTGCCATATATGGATGAACCTGGACATGTTCAGTGCACTGTTTAGGAAAAATGTTTGTATCTAGAGTGCGTATCCATAAGCACCGCCTTATATGTACAAGATTTGATTTGTCGTGATTTATTATAACTTGGAAGTTATTATGTGCTTCATTTCGTATGTCTCCCGACTTTAGTCCCAATGTCTCCCGACATTGGGTTACGTTAATACTCGGAGTGTAACCCATGTCTTTAACTAGAAACATCTCTAAAAACTTAATACTTGTTAGTTAAATGAACATGATTAACTTATTATCTTTTTAATGGTGTAACCCTAATCTTCAAGTGTTTTTCTTTGTAGTATTTTGTTTATTCACAACAAGTGCACTACAAAAAAAACCCATTTTCAAACGAAAGGTCAAATAAGGTTTCGTCACCTAATGTTTTGTTTGACATATATTCGTCGGGCAAAAGTCGTCGTTCAAATGTTTGCCCGACATAAAATAAAATTTTTCCGGGCGAATACTATTTGCCCAACGAATTATCGACGACTATTTTCTCGCACAAAGTGCCTTGACGAACTTGACCCGACAAACCAAACTTGCCCAATGATCGTATTTTGTCATCTCTTGCATGTACAGTCAAAAGTTATCCTTCCGCTGGTGCACTGCTTCATTCCGAGCTTCTTCTTGCTGGCGCGCAACTTCTTCTTGATGGGGCATGGCCTCTAACTCCATCTCCAACTACTACAGTCTGGAAGATGACCACTTGCAGGCTAAGAGCTAGATGAAGTAGATCTCTTGAGGTCTTGAACCATACCATATCTTAGGCCACGAAACTCTTGGCCTTCTATTACCCACTCCTGCCTATGAGCAACTATAGAGACACATCTGGATCAGGTGTTAGCTGCTTCATTGGCGTGTCCGGTTGCTGCTGAGAGAGGTTGGTGAGGTACTCATCATTATTTTGCGACATAGAAGCCTACAGAAGAAAAAGAAACCAATTAAGATTATCGATCATAATTTTATAAAATTTAATTGTAATGAAATTTGAAGTTAAAATGTTGAATGGAATACGTACATAAATGTTGTCAGGTACCTATTTGCCATAATTGGTGATGTATATTTAAACTAACCTAAATAATAGATTAATTTAAACCAAATTAAACTTGCAAGCGCACGAATTAATTGTAGTAATATATGCAAATACGAGGTCGATCCCACATGGATTGCTTTAATACCAATTTAATCGATTAATCATGCTAGACTTAATTAAACAAACAAAGGATAGATTGAATTGAATAATTGAGTAATTGATTAAGACTAAAATTAACAAGAAAAAGAAAAGATTATTAATTAAAATAAACACATGACACAAGAAAACCTAAGGTTATGAATTCACCAATAACAATCCTATTTACTTTACTTTTCCTAGAGCCAACTACTATCCAATTACCATGTCAATGTTAAAGGTTGTTCTTTCTAAGATATGAATTAATTCATGGTCAGGCATCAACTCTTGTATCTCTACATGATAATTATATCATATTGGTTAGGCATACAATTAAACACATAAAAACCCATTAAGCGTAGAAGAATCATGCCAACCAAGTAGGACTAGCTATAGCTTGATATTGGTCATCCTCACTAGTTTGTCTACTATTCTTAATCTTAATTCCACTAAACCTAATTGATTGGTCATCCTCATAGATTTATCTAACTATCTAGATGCAAAATTCCTAAAGGTGATCAGTCATTAGAAATTCGAATCTAGAATAAAATACCCACAAAGATTAAGAATATAGCATGGCATATAATCAAATTAACAAAGTACTTCGCAAATATTCATGTCATGGCTTCATCATAAACCTTAGAAAATAACTTAGTTACACATAGAAATAAAAATAAAAGAAAGATAGAATCCGGAATCCATGGCAAAGCACGTCCTTAAGCTCTTCTTTACAAATTGCGGAGATGGTGAATGGTAGTATGGATGTGGGTGATATCCAGGGTATGTGGGGGTCATCTAGAGATAGCTTAGGACACCTATTTTATACTAGATCTGGGAGAAACTCTCCTAAATAAAACAAACTCCTAAACAATTAATAACACAAACTAGGAAATAATCCTTCTTGGCTTGGGAAACACGTATTCTGTCTTGCACGTCAAATTTGGGGTTGATTTATCTTCTTGAAAATTCTGTAAAAATATAGGAAACATAGCTTGATCTCTTATCTTTCCAAGCATATATCACACGCCACTAGAAAAAATCAGGAAAGCCTTCTTCATTCTCCCACAGTTGCGCAATTATGACGGGAAAACAACTTCTGCAAGATTGATTTGTAAAACTAGAATGAATGGCTCCATGGAAAATTATGAAATTTGGACAGAACGATCTTCAGCCTCTTAGCTTCCTTCTCCAATTGGCCTTGCATTAAAACTCCTTTGGAAAGTCGAATTATCACAAAAAACGTTCTAAGTGTGCAGAATGGCTGAAATTAAGAAAAGGAAAGTAATAAGGCTCTTTTATAATCAATTCCTTAACAAAATCTAGGAATAATTAATATGAAAATATGATAAATAATGCACCTATCAATTGTCATGCATATCCCCTTAGGCGTCAACTTCCAAAAAAAACGAACGCTTCGCACGCCATTCTTTGACCCGTAGATGAGAAGTCGAGCACCAAAGTGAGGGAGGTACTACTTCGCTTCCCAGTTAGCCTTATTTGTCGTTGATTTTCATTGTGAAAAAAAATTAAATTAAATTAAAAAAACTTTGAATTAAAAATTGAAATGAAATATAAAAAAACTTACCAAAAATTTCGGGCTCTGAAAGTGACCGTACGTGAAGTTAGTTCACTTGCCCATCATTTATACTAACTTTGGGAATAGATCGATCAAAGCTTAAGTAGGAGATGCACAAGTCTCATTGTCATATCCTGGCCTGGGCCCCCCCATCATATCCTGGACTCAACTTCGCCGTAGCACGATATTGTCCGCTTTGGGTCCCGACCACGCCTTCACGGTTTTGTTTCTGGGAACTCACACGAGAACTTCCCAATGGGTCACTCATCTTGGGATTGCTCTCGTACGAACTCGCTTAACTTCGGAGTTCCTACGGAACCCGAAGCCAGTGAGCTCCCAAAAAGCTTCGTGCTAGGTAGAGATGGGAATATACATATAAGGCTTACATGATCCACTCCCCTGTGCGATGTGGGATGTTACACTCATAGTTTTTGTGCACCTCGTGCCTCAACTCCTTGAATCGATCGGTCCACACCTGGTTTATGTACTCGGACACACCCTACTTATCCATGTCAATCTCAAACTTGACCTAAAATAGACGAAAAATAAAATCTAGTGTTAGTTTGAAAAATGCACTAAATAAGTAAAATTAAACAGGCACATTTATCGAGATCTCGTCCTTTATCTCGAGGCGAGCTTTTTCCATGTAAGGAGTTTCATAGGGCACTTGGTGTAGATGATGGCTCTCATGCTGTGAGTCAACAGATTGTTGAATTTGGCGTTTGCTCAGTAATGTTTTGAGTTGTAAACAACCATGATCTTGACTTGCGTTATGCGAGTGATCCCATTCAAGAAGAAGCTTCTATAGGTCCCCCACACTTTCACCTTCTTCACACCCCGGCTGGAAGTTCTCCGTCTCTCACATGGCGATGGCCACTGAATCGAAGTCAACCTGTGCAATATCAACAGTGGGGGTTAGGCTGGCACAACACCACATCATTTCCGACTGTAAATAAGTCGAGAAAAATTGGTGCTCCTAGACCAACGAAGCTGATGCAATGTGCCCAGCCGCTGACTTGGCGGTGGCCACCTAGTACCTCCAATGAAATATTCGCCATATCTGCCGCCAAGTCATTCCAACTCGAACCGAATGAAGAGCGACAACCACAAGTGATCAACCGCGATGACATACGAGGAAAAAAAATTTAATTTGCATTAATTTTAATAAATTAGAGTACTTTCTAAAATATTTATTAAATGACATTTTACCAAAAAAAAATTGCAAAGAAATTTTCTAATATTCCGACAAATTATACAAATTCTAATTTCCACCCGGAACCAACCCACTCCCCACCCTGGTCCCCTTCGAGCCTGAACCACCACGCCCCCCCCACCACACCGCCTTTCTTGCACATTCAATTCACAAATTCAAGTATATTCATAATATTTCTAATATAAAAAAAATTCGAAAACACATTTGCTCGACGAATTTTACAACATTTCATCTAGCAAGCACTTTAATATGGGGGAAATTTTGAGTTTTGGAAAAGTGGAGAAAATTTGAAAGTTTGTCCAACGAATTTAGTATTGTTGCCTGACAAAATTTACCAAACACCAAACATTCAAAATTTCCCTATTTATTTATTTATTTATTTATATATTTTCAAGCGGTTACAAGGTCATCGAATTTGATGAACAAATCAATTCATGATGATATGATTGTAACCCAGTCCATCCTTTCGTCCCATTACTTAATCTCTAAAAGTTTGCTTTTGGTGATTTTTGACGTATGCAATTTTGTATTATTTGCAAACATATTTAACGGTTGGATCGTGGAAATTGATTTTGTAGACTGCGTATCCCTTCAAAACAATAGATTTAACGAAAACTTAAAGTTTATTTTATACTTTTGTAAGTAGAACGTAAGATTTTGTGATAACCAATAGTGTAAATATTTTAAATTGATGAATGGGTCTGTTCACTGTATTTTTCTACTGTCAGGGAGTAGTTGTTAAAAATTATCAAAATCGGAGCTGAAAAAATTGTTTAATCGTGATGCTAAGTTTCTAATACTCGAAGGATTTCGTCTCATTACCTAATCCCAAAAGCTTGCATTTGGATGATTTTTGGCATATGTTCTCTCGGAGTATATACCAACTACATTGATGGTTGGAGTGTTGAAATTAATTTCCCAGATTACAAAAATCATCAAAAGCATTGAATATGCGAAAAATGTCCCTCCCCTTTGCTAGGTGAAACATTTCCTTTTGCCCGACAAACTATAAACTTTAAACCCTAAATCATAAAATATAACTTTGCCCGATGAACTTCTTTCTGTCGAGCAAAATGTGGCATAATACTTGCAAATTTTTTTCCTTGCCACGAAAACTTTGCCCGACAACGTTAACTTTGCCCGTCAAAACGTTTCGCTGCCTAAAGTCTCTGAAAAAAATCACAACATTGACTACTTTTGCCTGACAAAACTTGATTCGTCCAACAAATTCTCGTTGGGCAAATGGTAATTTTTGGTTGTGATTCTTAATTGGGTGCAAATTAACTAGTTATACTAAAAATGAACCGTATGGTAGTTTAGTTGCTAAAAGAAAATGTTAACAAAAATGAATAGTATAATTGTTTATGAATAGTGCTCGAAGAAATTGTGGCATGTGAGAAGAGATTAGGTCTGAAATATGAAAATTAAGTCCTACCATGTGTTTGTTTGTTTCCCTGTATATCTCTATCGACAGACACATGATTGATTAAAACCTTGTTTCAATTGTCAGAAATGAGAAAAAAAAGAAGATCCAATTTGGCTCTAAAACTTCAATTTTTGGAGAGAACGTTTATGGGCATGGACACGGTCGATCGTGTCGCTTTAAGTTTATAATACAGTAACATATGAGATAAAAAAAATTATATATAACATTGTACTATTAATACGAAATGTCATAATGACACGCCTATTTGCTATGTAAATTCTTTACCAATTTGTGACTATTCTCATTTTTCACACTATTTAATATCATCTTTCACATGTTAATTTTATTACTTTCTCCTCTTTTAGGAATAAAAAAACTAAAATTACTTTGTAATAAGATGACATAGAAGAAATTTCACACTTAAAAATCACTTAAAGTATGCTAAATGAATACGTTATTCATCTTTTTTTCCTCAAACTAAATATTAAAGCGCTTTTGTACAAAATTTATAATTACCGAAGTGTTTTTTTTTCTTCAAATTTACTATGTTCTTTTAATACAAAGTAAAATTTGAGATTTAAGGTCTTCCATAATGTGGCGAAGATAATGTTTAAAATATCAATATAGGTGGAAATATCTATATTCAATTTTATAGAATATTGAAATTGATATTTGCATTCGACAAAAATTATGGAATTTTACAATGCGGTGTGTTTATCAACTTATTCAGATTTAGTCAAAATTAGAGAATTTTCTCAAAAAGTTTGAAATCTACAATGGATTCTGCCAAATTTTCTGCAGTGAATCAGTAAATCATCGATATTAATTGATTTTCCTATATCGCACCGATATAGGGTAAAGTTTGCAATTCATCCCTTCTTTCCATATCGATCCTTGATTTTTCGGATATTTCAACGAAAATATCGACAGTTTCATAGATATTTTAAACATTGGGTGAAGATAACAACTTTTATGATGCAATAGCAATGTTGTCCTTGCTGGCTGACATGATGATGTGGCATTTTAATGCAATTTCTTGCTCAGGCTGACCCTGAGAATTTGGGGCCTAGGCGAGCCTTTAAAGTGGGACCCTAGAGTTGTCTGACCCCCGACCCTTGTAAATTGATATGTATAAAAAGAATTTGCTAAATACATGAAAAAGTTTATTTCTACATCAAATATCATTACAGAATAATATCAAAAGAAGAAAGATATACAAACATTACTTAAATATTACACTTCTTGCATTTTTTAGATGCAAATATACCAAGTAAGTTTACATAATCTAATATTTCAACAAATTCTTTTTTAGTTGAAAAAATAGCTAACCCATTCAATATTTCTTATGACATAGTTGATCGAAGATAAGATTTGATCAACTTTAATTTTAAAAAACTTCTTTCTATACAGACAACTGTAATAACAAAATTCAATAAGAAACTCATGCATTCGAGAAAAACCATCCATTTATCTCAAATAGTTCAACACTTTTATTGCCCAATTTATTTTCTACGGTAAAGTTTCTCTCAAGATTCTTAGTTCTAGAAATAAGTCATACAAATGTAGTGTTGGGCTTAACAACCACCTAATTGATTATATAAAACAATTAAATCTTACAAATGCTAGGATCAACCGCTCAGCCCAATGATCTATTGTATTCAGACAAAGACTCAAAGTTTGTAAACTTCTTATTTGAACAAACACAAAGTTTGTAATACTAATTTATATATATATAAATTGAGGGCCGGAGGGCCTTAAGCATCCGCCTACTCTGACTACCTCCAAGGTCGGCCCTAATCTTACCTACGTGTCACATGGCATATCAACGTTACATTGTATTGAGCACATGTTGACCACATTTCTAAGAGGTGACACGTAGTCAATATGGTTCAAATACCATCTATTCATTAGACTTTGAAAGGTTAGAGAAACAATCGAGTCAAATCGCTTGATCAATTAGCCGGTCTGATCAATCAATATCAACAAAATACATGCACACGGTATTGATTAGAATTGTCCTTCATATAAATGATGATATCGATACTGGGATTGTCAATATCATGTCTATCAGTGGAAACTTACTTTCCATGTAAAGTTCCACTCGCAAGCATATAAATGCGATATTGAAACTTTAAATGTAATCGGAATACCAATAGTATAGATACAACGATAACATGCCAATATGAATACTTTATCGAGCTAGGTTTTACCTATTTGGGAAGTCCGTTGAAACTTGTTTGCAAAGGCAAATAACCAAACTCCAAAAGGCAATTTTCTATGGTACTACAGGAAAACGCAATAATCTTAAGGAAGCATTCAATACAAAATTTATCGGAAAAGTTTTTACACATTTCGAACTGTGTTTGTCGAGAAGAAGAAATGAGTTGCAAGGAGAGAATGAGTAAATAGGAAGAGAACATTGGTTTAAAAGAAATAAAGATATATTTTAAGGAAGCACTAGATACAATAATGTCAAAAGAATTACAGCAATACTAAAACCGACCCCTTTTTTTCACTTGGCTGCTAAATGCTAAACGCTAAATGCAAAACCCAATACAAGGCTGCCCATATCCACAAAAATATAACGCAACGCAGGAGGAAAACATCAACATAGACACTGTTTAAACAACGCCAAATATCGAAGGGCCACATTTCACGCCATTGAAACAGTATTCTGATAAAAACGCACCCTCACGGGCAAAAGGGCACATGCATTGTAGCTGAAGCAAAAAATATCACCTACTTTAAATTATGCTTGGTTTCCAGTTCCACCACCCCTTGTGCGCCCACCTGTCCGTCCTTTTCCCTGGTTGTACCCTCTGCCCCCTCCACCTCTGCCACCTCGTTCATATCCACCAGCACCTCTCTCGTATCCACCACCAGCACCTCTCTCGTATCCACCAGCACCTCTCTCGTATCCACCAGCACCGCCTCTCTCATACCTGCGAGCACCACCTCTCTCATACCTGCGAGCACCACCTCTCTCATACCCGCCAGCACCACCTCTCTCATAACCTCCACCAGCACCGTCTTTCTCATAACCCCCACCAGCACCACCTCTTTCACCACCCCTTTCGTAACCCCCACCAGCACCACCTCTTTCGTAACCACCACCAGCACCACCTCTTTCGTAACCTCCACCAGCACCACCTCTTTCGTAACCTCCACCAGCACCACCTCTTTCATACCCCCCACCAGCACCCCTTTCATAGCCACCACCATTCCTTTCATAACCAGCACCTGCAAAAAAATAAAATGCTTTTCATAATTAGTCCGTTGCATATGAACCAATGACCACATGCAAATCTATGAAAGAACAAATTCATATCTGAAGTACACATCTTAAGCTGTGAAGTACATCCACCAGACTGAGAGGTATAGGGATACTATTGAGTATATGCACACAATGCAAACGCAAAGACACAATGATCCGACACTCCTCAAAATAGTATAATATGCCAACCCTTCAAATATGGCCGACTCTTTAGTAAACAATTCCTCCTAATCCCCCAACCCAAAGTGCTGCTCAGGATATTTTCCTTGTATAGGTACTTACTAAAAAGAATGCATTATACTCGTCCACAAGTTTGATTATCGCATAGACCTTGTATAGGATGTTAAATAAACTTACCACGGTAACCCCAACCTCTACCACGTCCACCACCTTGTCCCCGATTTGAATATCCATCATTATCTACCATAAAAGAAGTCCACGTCAAGGGCAGATTTATATTATATAAAACATATATAGTATAGGCACTTCAAAAAATCATAATATGAGTACTTAAATCCCCAATGACTAGTATGTCATTTCATTATTGTACCTTGATAGTTTCTATAGCCACCTTGATAGTTCCCATATCCACCTTGAGGGTTTCCACCTTGATAGTTCCCATATCCACCTTGAGGGTTTCCATATCCACCTTGATAATTGTCATACCCTCCTCCCCTGCCCCAATTCCGGCCTCTTCCTCTACCACGTCCCCGTCCCCGTCCCCGGCCATACGAATCTAAGAACCAAATCAAGGAAACATATTAAAACTTAAACATTAAACCATGCTTAAAATAAAAGCTACTTGATAAGTTGTCATTTACCATCACCTTCATTAACAGCATTGTAAGGAACACGTGCTTGCTTTGGTTGCTGCTGCTGTTGGTAATTCGGCTGTGGCTTTGATTGATCCGCAGCATATGGGGCTTGATACCTATGGAAAGGGATCATGTAGAAAAAATTCATGTTAAAAGCACCAGAAAAGGAAAAGGAAACACTTTCCATAAGCTCAATACTTTTATGCGCGTACCACAGAAGAATATCAAACTTGATCTAAAAAATAAACCTTGGTGAAGACCCCAATATATTTCAGAACATACCCGGGAGAGTTTGTGTTTAGCTCCTTTGTTGATAATGTGATTGAAATCATTGAGACATGACGAGTCGTTTCCACACTGCAACATATGTTTATAACTTAGTACATGCCCATTATTGATTAAGCAGAAAAGAAAAGAAAAAAAAAAAAAACCCCACCAAACAGAGCATACACAAAATATCTGTGTAAGTCATAAGTCATTTCCTTACTGAATGAAGTGATCACCATAAATATATTCATGCGTACAAAATTTACAACACTTACGGGAGAAGACCTTCTTCCATCGGTTCAAACACATCAGTTATGCTTACAGAGCTGATGGCGGTATCCTGATGCAACCAGGAAATTCTCTTCTGTTTTAAAAAACAAATGGTTGGTTAATGTGCGTGCTATTTTTTTTATTTTTAAGAAAAAGAGAAAGAAAGAGGACGTGCGGGGGGGGTGGCGGCGGCGGCGTGCGTTGTGTTTAAAGAGAGCAAGCAAGATAGTGACCTTTATAATTTCAGCAATTGCAACTGTCTTGTTAATTGCCTGTCCCATTGCCTTCAAGACAATTTCTTTTCCACGCTTATCCTAGAAAAAATTTCAAAAAAAATCAGATGCGCGGATAGATGAATCACCCTTATCACGAATACAGACCACTAAGACAAAGTACCATATAAGGCACTGTCCTATAGCATTAATCTTAGATTACCAGCTGACAGAAAAGAAAAAAAGATGGTGAGAGAAAATAAAGTTAACCTTGGGAGTTGGGATTCTAGAACATAAAAAGGCAAAAGAACAACAGATATAAGAAGGAGACATAGTAAATAGAAGCTCAAGCAGAACCGATACAAACTGATCTTACAGCTGTAAATAGATATGAATTCTTGTCCATCCTCAGATTTACCATCATTAATAAAATTATCTGAGTAGTTTACGGAACACACTTTTTATTGTAACAATTTCTTATCTGACCCCTTACTGTGACTAAAAACAGTAGACCGCCTTGTTGATAGATTTTGCCAGGTAGACTAAGGGAAACCCTTCCCAGGTGGAGAATCCATCACAAAAAGGAATAATATTCACACCAAAAAGGGCTTTGTGCACTTGTTGGATAGAAAGGATTGGTATTAAGAAGAGACCATGATTGAAGAGTTCACTCTTGTCTTTGCAACCACTTTTGGAACATTGACCATCCCTTTTCAAAGCTCCAGCAGTCACTGAACTCTCGGCCTAAATTGGTCTATAATCAAATGACATAGCATATGATGCAAACAAGTACAGAACTAGATTTGCAAAGCTGCATACAACACGAAATGTTCGGTAAACTGAATTCTTAACGCAAACGTGCAAACTAAGACTAACCACCTCCTCACTGAGGTCAACAGTCATATTCTGATGTAATAATTGATAAATGGCATTCCCAATTCACTAACACCGCCAACGGCCAATTTTACAGTCCAGACCTACCAGCTAGCATCTCCGTCACCAACACGAATTAACAATCACGAAGGACTTTCTGTATATGTACAACAAAAACTATCCGAGACCATCAATATAAACAATAACAACAGCTACATACATGTGATTCAAGTTTCAAACATAACCAAATACCAGAAAAATCCATAAAGCATAACACAAATGCATATTATCACCAGCATACAACCAACACCAGTAAAAAAAAAACCCAAATATAACAAAATGGGTCAGAAATCCATCAGTATTTGAAGCAAAAACAATCCAATAAACCGAACGGACAAAACCCAATACAAAAACAAAGACATGCAAAAACACCCATAAACCAAAAATACAAAAAAAACACCAAATTATGAATCAATGGAAGAAAAAACGATAAAAAAAAATGAGAACATAAGCGATGATCGAAGATTGAGAAGACGAACCTGAAGCAGAGTGGTGGCATAGCTGATGTAGTTTCTGATAGAGCCTTGGGTGGTGATTCGGATCTCGTTCTCGTTGATGGGCACTTCGGGCCTCGGCTTCTCGACCTTCTGAAACTTTTCCATGGCGTTTCGGATTTTTCGGATTTGGAAGAATCAGAAAACCCTAAAACCCTAGAGGAGGAGCGAGACAGTCAGAAAAGAGAGAGAAGGGAGAGTGAGAGTGAAAATGAGAAGCAGTCAAAAAAAGGGCGAAATTTTGGTGAAAACCATTTTCGGCCAATCAAAAGCCCAGGCCCAATTGGATTTCGCTCCATATTTCACAACTTTTTTTTTTCTTACACACCCTTTTAATTTTCGACCAACGGATCGGATAAATTAAAAAAAATCGAAGGGCATAAATTAATAAAGGGTGTGTGAGAAGTAAAAAATAGTGTGTGGATAACACTCCTTCACAAATTGACGCCCAAGGTTTGGAGAAAATTTTTATTGTGATCATAACACGGGAGTACACCATGTGTTTTTATATAAGTAGTGGGATATTTTATTTTTCAAGTTATTAATTTTTTGACACACATATCCCAAGATTTGTATAGTAACACGTAGTGTACCACCCCATGTTCCGGTCACACTGAAAAATCTCTCCATTGTTTGGTCACTTACATGTTCTGACTTATCGTTGCCTCCATGTATCACTGCACAATTGATTAAAAAAAAACTAAGTGCAGATAACAACCCAATATTTAGAGCAATTTCACCTCACTAAAGCAATAATTGTCTCGTCAATTGGGAAAAGACAATTACTGCCTTAATGAATAGTAATTGTCCAAGTGCAACTCTATCCTGTAAAATGAATTGTTCGAACAACTAGCAATAAAATTTTATTCTAAAAATATTTGATAAAAAGTTAATATTATTAAATTATTTTAAAAAAAAAATCTCAACCTAAGCCTCTCTCTGACTCGAAGAGCTCCACCATAGTACACAAATTAAACGATTTCATTGAAGCCAAAATTATCAACTTACAAAATGTTTTACCCAATACACACAATTACATCACATCGTTGGAAATCAATATAACACCACAATGCTAACATTACATAAAATTACATCAAACAGTACAAGGCACTACGATGTCAATAACCGAGCGAGAGCGTAGATAACGTCGAGGACGTTGACAATACTCCAGCTATGATTCAATTTCCGTGTCTGTTGTATAGAAGCTTCTGAAATATTAAGAAACAAGACAGATACTGGAGCATCATCTGCACAACTGAAACATGTTTTTTCCCAATCCGAAGTGCTTGATCTTGCATCTCTGTCATGTGCATTGCTGTCAAACATGTTGCAGACAATGAAATGTTAGTAAATCATTCAAGGCATCATTTGATCTGACTTCGGAGACCAGGATCTATTTTTTGCTCGGTTGTGAATGCACATGCACTTAATGAGGGAAATGGAACGCACAAACACAATGCGGCACTGCCCCTCAAAATAGGGGGAAGGTGATCATACGTCGTCGAGAGAAAAGATTTTCAACAAGAATCCCAAAAATCAAATTAATCCAACGGCACATAATGTGAGCATAGAGTAGATATTCAATGCAGGACTCAAGAGCGGAAACCGCCACAAGGTGATTATATTCCTTATAAAGATGAAAACGGGTAGATATTCAATCACCGAAACTTATGTATCTTATGGAGCACAGAAATGTCAACAATTAAGGTATAAACCAACACTTTTATGGTAGAAACTTGAGAAAACTGGATTTATAAATCTTGCCACATTAGTAGAAGAAGCATATATGGTAGAAACTTGAAAATCTCAGCTCATTAAACCTCTGAACTTTACTGTCCCACACTACCATTCAGGAACATGTCCAACATGTAATGTTCTACCATCACCAAAAGTAACTTCTATTTTTCAGCCAAAAAAGTTGCAACCGGAACTGTGAACCATGCACATCAAGGAGCTGCATACTGTTTATACTGTGTTTTCCACTTTTTTTTTTTTTAGCACATTGATATTTTTACACTAAGGCGAGAGGGAGTTCGGCAAAGCCACACAATGGGGCAGCCTAATTTGGTATCGAATTCACCATCCGCGAGATTCGAACCTAAGACCTCTCACTTACAAGTGAAGAGAAATATCACCAGACCGTAGTACTGAATGGCTACCATGGTTTCCTCTTAAAACGGGTAATTAACACTAATCGATCATGCCTGAACTAGTCACATAAAGTTATTAAGTACCCTGATTTGGGAGTTTCTCTATGTAATTTTACTTGCATCTTTAAGGATATATTCACATATGTCACCTACTGATCTGCACTGAATTTGGCATAAAACCCCTTGTTAATTCAATCAAGAAACGTCACAGCTAATTAAATCCTACTTAACAAAATCAAACCCACCAAACTTGAATTGCAAAATCAATCAATCTTAACACGATATCAATGAAGAACAAATTAAGAAAATGGTTGAATCCATACCATGAATCCGCGGAGCGTAAAATCAGTTCAACATAGGCTGCACATTGACAACGCCGTCTCCTTCGCCCTCCCCTTCGCCACGAAGGATATTATGCGGGGAAACTGTCGACGAAAAGCTGATGACTTTATGGAATTTATTAACAGGGGAAGGCAATTGGGGCAGTCTCCTCCAGCTACACTTCCCCGAAGGTCCGCCATTGTCATCGGAACCAATCTCGCAAACACAAGCCGGGTACTTCTTATGATACTCCTCATTGAACACGTATATAAGGTTTCCCAATCCCACACATTTCAAGCTCGCAAACTTGTCTTCCTCATCGCCGTCGAACAATCCATTCAACAAGTCCTGCGGCATGATGGCGATCTCGCTGAACTCCATGGTGGCCTCCTCGATCTTCCACAGGTTAAATGACGGACCGAGAGGGCCGTTGCAGATTCCGGCGAGGACGAGGTGGTTGGTGGAGGAAATCAGGAAGGAGAAGACGACCCCGGGCGGGCGGAGGGTCTGGACTTCGCTCCAGGCGTGGGTGCGGAGATCAAACGAGGCAATAAAGCAGGAGTAGATTCCGAAAACGTAGAATCGGCGCTTGAAGAGGGCGGAGGAGAGAGATTCTGACGAGTTTCCGGAGCGAAAATCGGCGGGGAGCGGCGGGCAGAGGAGCCATGAATCGGAATCGGGATTGTAAATCTCCACGGCCAAACGGTCCTCGATGTCGACCAAATTGCCGATTAATCGGACCCCGCCGACGACGACAAAGCTAGGGATTGGGGAGGAGGAGGCAGAGGATGAGGAGGAGGAGGGAGAATCGACGCCGACGAGGGGGTTGACGCGGGAAAATCGGAGAGGGGAGGTGGAGAGCCATTGGCGCTTGAGGATATGGGAGAAGGTGAAGAAAGGGGCGGTGACAAGGAAGAAGCCATCGGCGCCGAGGAAGGAGGAGGACTGGGAGGGGAAGGTGGGGGAGGGGAGGCGGAACCAGAGATTGGAGAGGGGGTCGAAGGCGAAGCACTGGTTGAAGTTGGAGGAGGTGTTGTGGATGCCGAAGAGGAAGAACCAGGGGTATTTATGGGAGAGTGGGGAGGAGAAGGTGGAGGAGGAGATGAGGGAGTGCCAGTACTTGCAGACGGCTGAGGCGCGGATGAGGGTGGGGATGGGGAGGTAGGAGAGGATAAGCTCCGTCACGTCGGAGCTGAGGCAGCTGATTTCCGCCATATGTGGGGTGGGTTGGATGCGGAGTGAGAGAGAATGGAGAGAGGAGGAGGAGAGAGGAAGGAGGAGAGTGGGGTTTGGGTAGTTGGTGGAGGAGTTTGACTTAACCGGAAGATAAACTAACAGTATGTTGCGTGCGCCCTTTTCCCTCCATATTTTAGTAGCAAGCAATCCGGATCATTTTCATCTAATCATCATGGTCAAACAATCCGAATTTTTTAAAATTAATTCAACAGCTAAAATTATTATAATTTTTAAAATAAATCCGTATTTTTAACCATTGAATCAAATTTTAAGAGTTCAAATTATTTAATAAGGAAGATTAAGGAGGGTGTATTCAATTGAGAATTTGAGAGATTTTAATGTATTTATAAATCCATAGATTTTTATGAAGTTTAATTGATTTGTAGAGATTCTATGTAAAATTTTGATTCAATTCCCTCAAAATCTCTTTGGGGGACGTGAGATTTGTAGATGCTCAAAATACACTACGAAATCTCTCTAATTCCCTCTAATTCCTCAACTTTCTCAAATTCTTTAAAATCAAATTCTAATTGAATACACCTGGAATGTTATAAACTTCTTTAAAATTCTAATTGAATACATCCGGATTTCTAAGGATTTTCATAAAATATCTTAAAATTCTGATTGAATACACATTGAATTTCAGAGAATCACTTAAATTCTTGATTGAATAACCCTAGATTCATTAAAAGAATTAAAATTCATTGAATACAAACGGATCCGGAGAGGATCCCTTTCCCACTACTACCACCACCTCCACTGTTGTAGGCTTGTAGCTTTCGCTTTCCACCTTCCAAAACTAGAAAACCTTTAAACTTTTTTTACTTTTATGATAATAATAACTAGCCTTGCACGTGCGTGCGAGAGATTTTTTTGCATCACGAACACTACCCGCTCTAAAGATGTGTTGTTTTAAATATTCTAATATTTCTTAAGTGATTATTTTATAAATTGTGGGTGTGTGTCTATCAGAACAATTTCTTATTATTTTCAATCATCTAACTTAGTCTTTTTGCACCCACCCATTGTACATAAAAAATGAAATTCATGAATTGCACACTAACTATTCTACATTTTTTTTGCTTACTGATTATTATGGTGTCATTTTTTTTGTTTGGCTGATAGAATTTGGTTTCACAAACTAAACTATGCTTGGTCATTATTATCACTTTGGTAATTACTTATTAACAAAAAAAAAAAAAAAAGTTAATCAGTGTAATTAGAATTCTCTTATATTCATTAGTATCGTTTTACCCCAGAAATAAAATCAAGAGTTGGGTTCCTTAAAATCAAGAGTTGGGTTCCTTAGTCAATAAGGGATTGAAAATGGTGGATTTCATTTTGGTTTACTATGATAATGGTGTTATCAGTATGCATGCCATATTGTCATATTGCCACAGTCGTTGAAGAATTTAGCAACATATATTCCATTCAATTTGCACATATGTGAGTAATCTCTAGTACAATTTTTACTATTTTTCCTTTAAAACAACAACGAAGATAAAATGGGAAAACATAAACTATTAAAAAAATCTGAAAATATGACATGTAATTTCATTTATAGATACAGGCTGATAACATTTAATGTCCTTAAATCAAAATTTTTAGATTCATAAGTTTTCAGTCAAAGTTATAGGCTAGCAAAGCAAAATATAAACATGTACATATGTAAACATAGCGTTTACGTGTGAAATGAAAGCCATGTTTGCCACCCATTTGCTTGCACTTGATGCTTTAGATTTTCATGGTTAATCTACAAGCAATGATGATAAAATAAGAAGTCTAACTATAATGCACAATCCCAAATATAAAGATTGTAAGCAATTTAACCTAAATACCTTTAACTTTTACAATTTCCTCATGGCAATACTTTTACTCCAGTTACTATTAGAATATTGAAAGATAAATAATTTGTCAAGTTTTAGGTAACAAATTGTAATCATGTTTACAAAATTAAATAGTAAGAAATGTTACCTTAATCTTGTACTTCAACCTTTGTACTTTGAGACGGGTGTGATGCTTGTAAAATTGACAAAAAATGCAATTTTATTTCTATCTGAAAATTGAATGCAATTTGAATTTATAGTATACTTCCGTATAAAAATAAGAGAAAACTTACCGTATTTAGAAAAGTTGTTTGATCACTATTAATCTTTTTCCCGCACCTAAAAATTATTTTGTTATTTTTATAATTTGAGATAATTAATTTGTAGATTTTTTTTCTAATTTTCTAATTTGAGATAATTAACATGAACGTATCTCCTCCATTTTAGGAGGAGATAATAATATAGAAGAAACAAAGGAACAATAGGAGGAGATATTATCTCAAAGCAGCAGTAGAAAATGATAATGGCATCACAGGCCATAAGAAGATTGAAGCATGCGATAATTCTTAATTGAGATTGAAGCCTATCAACTTTTAAGGAAGACTAATGAAAAGGGTTTGAAAACTTTGAGTTTTAACGATAAGGACAAAATAAATGGTAAAGTAAATAGTACCAGGATTGACTTTTTAGTATAAAAATATGATTTTTCGTTAAAATGAACAGTACCGGAAGCTTTCATTAAAGTTCCTTTAAAGATAATGTGGTGATGACCTAGTGGAATATACGTTCGGTTTTCAAACATGTATACTGTCAAGCCCGTGGACATTTTACCTGACAATTTCATATGTGTGTGTGCATGTACAGATGCATATATGTTATACTTTTTTGGCTTCAATTATTAAAGTTTGTGTTTTATTCCTTAACGTTAATCTTCGCATGCGTTTTCACATGAAGCTCATATAGAGAATGCCACTACAAATAAATAGGAAATGGTGTTGTACCTAATTTGTTGAACTTTATTTCAAATAGGTATGATGTGAAGAGTTGTTGAAGGTTTTAATTCTTCTACAATCTTTTTCATGTGCCACCTATATATTGAGGGTATATAATGTTAAAATTTCTTGTAACAAATTTAATAAAGAATTTAGAATACATATTGCTCATGCTTCTTCTTTCTCCACTCTTTGAGAATCAGTTGGCTTAGATCAGTAGTTTTTACTCCGACAGATATCTCCCACCCAGGTGTAAAAATAAAGACACGTATGTTTGGGATCTTATCAATAGGTAGTTCATTCTTCATTTTTTGTGGGTATTCTTGCAAATATACTGTGAATGAAAACAAATAATTTTTAAAATTACCATAGCACTCATATAGCACATTAAGATAATCAAAATTGAAACTCATAATCTGACCAAATTTTAAAAAGCGCACAATGAAGATTTCAAAGGAAGAAGTTAAAAAAAACTAAAATTGACTTAAAATACTAAATACAAACTCATATATACATCCTCAAAGTTGTAGTAGAGTACATCAAATTCATCACCTAAAAGATAAACCGTAAAAAAAAAACCTAAAAACTGAAAAGGTAAATTTAAATTGAGATTTACCCAAAGTTATTCAAACCTTGAACTTTGGAGCCTAACAAAATCGTCTTGACCCTATAACAAAAAGGAGAGAGAAATAATAAGAAAAATGAAATAAAAAGCACAAAGATTTCACAGAAGATGGATATGAATGGTTGGCAAAAGCCTTTTGAGTCAAGAATCTCACCAAATTAATTCAAATAGCATCGCATGTGAAGAAGGCAGGGCAAAAAAATGGGAAGTATAAGATTCGGCCACATAACTAGAGGAGATGGGGAGTACATATAATAATATTGTAGCCACAACGGAAAAAATGGGAATATACGTGGGAACTGGGAAGTTACTGCTTGGTAGTGGGAGAACTTCACCGTTTTTTTTTAACTGACGACAACCTCTACTCATTTTCTCCCACGTTGGTTCTTAATTTTTTTTCTTTAATATAATTTTGTTAGATATTAATATCTCCTCCTAAAATGGAGGAGATACGTTCATGTTCTTTTCTTCTTCTTTTTTCTTTTTTTCCAGTAAAACAAATTTTAATTCTCTGTTTAATATATCTCTCCTAAAATGGAGAGCAATAACGTTGTTTTTGTTTAATATAAATTTCTTAGATATTTTTTTAATATAATTTTGTTAGATTAATATTCCATTTCTGTTGTCTTATTTCTTTCTTTTTATTTCTTTTTTCAATATAACGAATTTTAATTTTTCTGTTTAATATCTCTCTCTCCTAAAATGGAGAGCAGTTATTCACCATGTCGTTTTTTTACTTTATTTTTTAATATTTCTCTCATAAAATGATGTCTCTCTTTCCTCTCCATAACTGTTAATTTTTAGAGGATAATTGTCATGTTTTTTTTTTAATTTTAATTTTAATGACCATGTTTTGGGGCTCTCCTTCCATATATATATATATATATATCGATATAGATGACGAAATCGAAAATGGAGGCGGATAATTGTCATGAAATTTTTTTTTTTAATTTTTAGAGGATAATTGTCATGGAATTTTTTTATATTTTAATTATTAGTATTTCCAGTTTCCACGTTTGAGGGGTTCAGCACGTTCCCTTATGTTTTGTTTTGTTTTTTTTTTTTTTTTCATTTTTCAATAAAACAAATTTTAAGTTTCTGTTTATTTATTTATTTTATTTTTTTTTAACAATATTTCTATGAGATATTTAGTCCCTCCCTCTCCGAAAATGGAGGAGGAGTGGAGTTGGTCATGTACCCTTTTTTATCTCATTTTTTTCTAATAAAATGAAATATAAATGTCAGTTTTGATTTTTTTTGTTTGGGGGGCTTTCTAGTCCAATTTTTTTTTGGTGAAGCCTTGAGACATCAAACTCTCATTCTGGCTTTCTAATATTAAAGATTAAAAATTTATGAGTAATAGACCAATTCTACTTAAATGTATATAGTAATACATGACGACCCGTCCCGAATTATTATATATATTTTTCCCCGAGTGTGTAAAGTGACGGTAATGCCCTCGTGGTTTAGTGACGTGGATGTACATATGTAGTTTTAAATTATTATTTCTACCGTCGTAGTTAAATCGTACTCGACACCATGAGTGTGTTGATGTGACCTAGGGCCAAATCGGATTCGTAACGAAGAAGTTACGAACAAACGAGTGTGTAAATGGGTAGAAATATAATATTATAGGTTGGCTATACCTTACCCACCAAT